ATGAGAAGACTGAGTATATTCTACAAGAGAAAAAGGACCAATTGCAGGTACAGTACATTTAAATAGATGGTAACTAAAATTTTGTGTTTTTATCCTTCAAATTTCCACTTGACATTTTTTTCTTCCATCTGCCAGTTTCCACCAAGTGTTTGATGATTTTTGCCAGCCCACCAGGGCCTACCCGTGCCAACCCCATACTCGAAATAGTACTCTCCTTCGACGGTCTTCCCCTCTCGTATGCCTCTAGCCAAATTTTTGCTTCTGCTCCTTTAATTGAGTTGATGATTTCTGTTACTGTTCTATTGGTATAGGATTTCTGCTAACTAAAATTTTGTGTTTTTATCCCCCAAATTCCCACTTCACAGTTTTTTCTTCCATTTGCTAGTTTCCACCAAGTGTTTAATGCTTTTTGCTAGCCCACCAGGGCCTACCGTGCGAACCCCTACCCCAAATTGTACTCTCCTTTTACGGTCTTTCCCTCCCGTATGTCTCTAGCAAAATTTTCGCCTCTGCACATTTAATTGAATTGATGATTTCTGCTGCTGTTCTATTGTTATAGGATTCCCATATCTCATCTGTTTGGATACAGAGGAGACTAATTCCACTGTATATGGAGGGCCCTTAGATTTCTCAAAATCATGAGATGGGATTCCTAGCTTGGTTTTTGGGTTCTTCAGGTAAGTTCTCAAGAATTCCTCTCAAAATTGGAGCTGTCCCAATATAACTCTTGAATAGAAAGGTAGAAAAAAAAAGGGAAAAAAAGAAAAAGGAGAGTAGAGAGAGAGAGAAGTAGAGAAGATAATGTGAACAAAATTAATATTTCTTCCACGCACAAGTGATGAGTTTTAGCCAAAATGTGTCAATTTTCATCGCAGGGGAGAAGATAAGATTGACAGTGTTCAGCTTTTAATTTTCTAAACTAACTAGTCGAATTTCTTTATTTTATTATTTAATGCATTATTAGATGTGAACTGTTGATGGTTAAGGGAACCCATACTCTGTCGACATGTGAAGCAAATCCCACCTTTTTGTACTGAAATGGATTAATATGTGCAAACTGGGTATATTCTACAAGAGAAAAAGGACCAATTGCAAGTACAGTACAATTCAATAGATGCTAACTAGAATTTTGTGTTTTTTTCCCCCAAATTTCCACTTGACATTTTTCTCTTCCATCTTCCAGTTTCCACCAAGTGTTTGATGCTTTTTGCCAGCCCACCAGGGCCTACCCATGCCAACCCCCTACTCCAAATTGTACTCTCCTTCTACGGTCTTTCCCTCCCCTTTGTCTCTACCAAAATTTTTGCCTCTGCATCTTTAATTGAATTGATGATTTTTGCTACTGCTCTGTTGATATAGGATTTCCATATCTCATATGTTTGGATACAGACGAGACTAATCCCACTGTACATGGAGGGCCTTTAGATTTCTCAAAATCACGGGATGGGATTCCCGGCTTGGTTTTTGGGTTTTTCAGGTAAGTTCTCAACAATTCCTCTTAGAATTGGAGTTGTCCTAATATAACTTTTCAATAGAAAGTTAGAAAAAAAAGGGGGAAAGAAGAAAAGGGAAAGTAGAGAGAGAGAGAAGAAGAGAAGATAATGTTAATGAAATTAATATTTCTTCCATGCACATGTGATGAGTTTTTGCCGAAATGTGTCAATTTTCATCACATGGAGAAGATAAGATTGACAGTGTTCAGCTTTTAATTTTCTTAACTAGCTAGTCAAATTTCTACATTATATTAATTAATGCATTATTAGATGTGAACTGCTGATGGTTAAGGGGACCAATACTCTGCCGACATGTGAAGCAAATCCCACCTTTTTGTACTGAAATGGATTAATATGTGCAGATTGGGTATATTCTACAAGAGAAAAAGGACCAATTGCAGGTGCAGTACAATTACATAGATTATAAATAAAATTTTGTGTTTTTATCCCTCAAATTTCCATTTGACATTTTTTTCCTCTACCTGCTAGTTTCCACCAAGTGTTTAATGCTTTTTGCCAGCCCACCAGGGCCTACCCATGGCAACTCCCTACTCCAAATTGTACTCTCCTTCTACAGTCTTTCCCTCTCGTATGCCTCTAGCAAAGCTTTCACCTCTGCACCTTCAATTGAATTGATGATTTTTGCTGCTGTTCTTTCGATATAGGATTTCCAAATCTCATCTGTTTGGATAGAGAGGAGACTGATCCCACTGCATATGGAGGACCCTTTGATTTCTCAAAATCACGAGATGGGATTCCTGGCTTGGTTTTTGGGTTTTCAGGTAAGCTCTCAACAATTCCTCTCAGAATAGGAGCTATCCCAATATAACTTTTGAATAGAAAGTTAGAAAAAAAAAAAGGGAAAAAAAGAAAAAGGAGAGTAGAGAGGGAGAGAAGAAGAGAAGATGATGTTAATGAAATTAATATTTCTTCCACGCACATGTAATGAGTTTTAGCCAAAATGTGTCAATTGTCATCGCAGGGGCAAAGATAAGATTGACAGTGTTCAACTTTTAATTTTCTTAACTAGCTAATCGAATTTCTACATTTTATTATTTAATGCATTATTGGAAGTGAACTACTGATGGTTAAGGGGACCCATACTCCGCCAACAAGTGAAGCAAATCCCACCTTTTTGTACTGAAATGGATCAATATGAGCAGACTGAGTATATTCTACAAGAGAAAAAGGACCAATTGTAGGTACAGTACATTTAAATAGATGGTAACTAAAATTGTGTTTTTATCCCTCAAATTTCCACTTGATATTTTTTTCTTCCATCTGCCAGTTTCCACCAAGTGTTTGATGATTTTTGCCAGCCCACCAGGGCCTACCTGTGCCAACCCCATACTCGAAATAGTACTCTCCTTCGATGGTCTTCCCCTCTCGTATGCCTCTAGCAAAATTTTTGCTTCTGCTCCTTTAATTGAGTTAATGATTTCTGCTGTTGTTTTGTTGATATAGGATTTTCATATCTCATCTGTTTGGATACAGAGGAGATTGATCCCCCTGCATATGGAGCACCCTTAGATTTCTCAAAATCACGAGATAAGATTCCTGGCTTAGTTTTTGGGTTTCTCAGGTAAGTTCTCAACATTTCCTCTCAGAATTGGAGCTGTCCCAATATAACTTTTGAATAGAAAGTTAGAAAAAAGAAAGGAAAAAGAGAAAAAGGAGAGTAGAGAGAGAGAGAACAAGAGAAGATAATGTTAATGAAATTAATATTTCTTCCATGCACATGTGATTAGTTTTGGCCAAAATGTGTCAATTTTCATCGCAGGGGAGAAGATAAGATTGACAGTGTTAAATTTTTAGTTTTCTTAACTAACTAGTCGAATTTCTACATTTTATTATATAATGCATTATTAGACGTGAACTGCTGATGGTTAAGGGGACCCATATTCTGCCGACATTTGAAGCAAATCCGACCTTTTTGTATTGAAATGGATTAATTTGTGCAGACTGGGTATATTCTACAAGGGGAAAAGGACCAATTGCAGGTACAGTACAATTAAATAGATGTTAAATAAAATTGTGTTTTTATCCCCCAAATTTCCACTTAACATTTTTTTCTTCCATCTGCCAATTTCTACCAAGTGTTTGATGCTTTTTGCCAGCCCGCCAAGCCTTACTAGTGCCAACCCCCTACCCCAAATAGTTCTCTCCTTCTACAGTCTCTCCCTCTTGTATGCCTCTAGCAAAATTTTTGCCTATGCACCGTTAATTGAATTGATAATTTCTGCTGCTGTTCTGTTGGTTGATATAGGATTTCCAAATCTCATCTGTTTGGATACAGAGGAGAATGATCCCATTGCATATGGAGGACCCTTAGATTTTCAAAATGACGAGATGAGATTCCTGGCCTAGTTTTTGGGTTTTCCAGGTAAGTTCTCAACAATTCCTCTCAAAGTTGGAGCTATTGCAATATAATTGTTGAACAGAAAGTTAGAAAAAAAAAAGGAAAAAATGAAAAAGGATAGTAGAAAGAGAGAGAAGAAGAGAAGATAATGTTAACGACATTAATATTTCTTCCACACACCTATAATCAGTTGTAGCCAAAATGTGTCAATTTTCATTCTAGGGAAGAAGATAAGATTGCCAGTGTTCAGTTTTTAATTTTCTTAACTAGGTAGTCAAATTTCTACATTTTATTATTTAATGCATTATTAGATGTGAACTGCTGATGGTTAAGGGGACTTGCACTCTGCCGACATGTGAAGCAAATCCCACTTTTTTGTACTGAAATGGATTAATATGTGCAAACTGGGTATATTCTACAAGAGAAAAAGGACCAATTGCAGGTACAGTTCAACTAAATAGATGCTAACTAAAATTGTGTTTTTATCTCCCAAATTTCCACTTGACATTTTTTTCTTCCATCTACCAATTTCCACCAAGTGTATAATACTTTTTGCCAGCCCACCAAGGCTTACCCGCGCCAACCCCTTACTCGAAATTGAACTCTCCTTCTAGGTCTTCCTCTCCCGTATGCCTCTAGCAAAATTTTCGCCTTTGCACCTTTAATTGAGTTGATGATTTCTGTTGTTGTTCTGTTGATATAGGATTTCCATATCTCATCTGTTTGGATACAAAGGAGACTGATCCCACTACATATGGAGGACCCTTAGATTTCTCAAAATCACAAGATGGGATTCCTGGCTTGGTTTTTTGGTTTTTAAGGTAAGTTCTAAATAATTCCTCTTAGAATTGGAGCTATCCCAATATAACTTTTAAATAGAAAGTTAGAAAAAAAATGGAAAAAAAGAAAAACGAGAGTAGAAAGAGAGAGAAGAAGGGAAGATAATGTTAACAAAATTAATATTTCTTCCATGCACATGTGATGAGTTTTAGCCAAAATGTGTCAATTTTCGTTGCAGGGGAGAAGATAAGATTGACAGTGTTCAGCTTTAAATTTTCTTAACTAGGTAGTCGAATTTCTACATTTTATTATTTAAAGCATTTTTAGATGTGAGCCGTTGATGGCTAAGGAGACCCATACTTTGCCGACATGTGAAGCAAATCCCACCTTTTTGTACTGAAATGGATTAATATGTACAAACTGGGTATATTCTACAAGAGAAAAAGGGTCTTCCATATGTAGTGGGATCAGTCTCCTCTCTATCCAAACAGATGAGATTTGGAAATCCTATATCGACAGAACAACAACAAAAATCATCAATTCAATTAAAGGTGCAGAGATGAAAACTTTGCTAGAGGCATACGAGAGGGAAAGACCATAGAAGGAGAGTACAATTTGGAGTAGGGGGTTGCCACGGGTAGGCCCTGGTGGGCTGGCAAAAAGCATTAAACACTTGGTGGAAACTGGCAAGTAGAGGAAAAAAATGTCAAATGGAAATTTGGGGGATAAAAACACAAAATTTTATTTACAATCTATGTAATTGTACTGCACCTGCAATTGGTCCTTTTTCTCTTGTAGAATATACCCAATTTGCACATATTAATCCATTTCAGTACAAAAAGGTGGGATTTGCTTCACATGTCGGCAACGTATTGGTCCCCTTAACCATCAGCAGTTCACATCTAATAATGCATTAATTAATAAAATGTAGAAATTTGACTAGCTAGTTAAGAAAATTAAAAGTTGAACACTGTCAATCTTATCTTCTCCCATGTGACAAAAATTGACACATTTTGACAAAAACTCATCACATGTGCATGGAAGAAATATTAATTTCATTAACATTATCTTCTCTTCTTCTCTCTCTCTACTTTCCCTTTTCTTCTTTCCCCCTTTTTTTTTTTTCTAACTTTCTATTGAAAAGTTATATTAGGACAACTCCAATTCTAAGAGGAATTGTTGAGAACTTACCTGAAAAACCCAAAAACCAAGCCGGGAATCCCATCCCATGATTTTGAGAAATCTAAGGGCCCTCCATATACAGTGGGATTAGTCTCGTCTGTATCCAAACATATGAGATATGAAAATCCTATATCAACAGAGCAGTAGCAAAAATCATCAATTCAATTAAAGATGCAGAGGCAAAAATTTTGGTAGAGACAAAGGGGAGGGAAAGACCGTAGAAGGAGAGTACAATTTGGGGTAGGGGTTGGCATGGGTAGGCCCTGGTGGGCTGGCAAAAAGCATCAAACACTTGGTGGAAACTGGCAGATGGAAGAGAAAAATGTCAAGTGGAAATTTGGGGGAAAAAAACACAAAATTCTAGTTAGCATCTATTTAATTGTACTGTACCTGCAATTGGTCCTTTTTCTCTTGTAGAATATACCCAGTTTGCACATATTAATCCATTTCAGTACAAAAAGGTGGGATTTGCTTCACATGTCGGCAGAGTATGGGTTCCCTTAACCATCAACAGTTCACATCTAATAATGCATTAAATAATAAAATAAAGAAATTCGACTAGTTAGTTTAAAAAATTAAAAGCTGAACACTATCAATCTTATCTTCTCCCCTGCGATGAAAATTGACACATTTTGGCTAAAACTCATCACTTGTGCGTGGAAGAAATATTAATTTTGTTCACATTATCTTCTCTACTTCTCTCTCTCTCTACTCTCCTTTTTCTTTTTTTCCTTTTTTTTTTTTCTACCTTTCTATTCAAGAGTTATATTGGGACAACTCCAATTTTGAGAGGAATTCTTGAGAACTTACCTGAAGAACCCAAAAACCAAGCTAGGAATCCCATCCCGTGATTTTGAGAAATCTAAGGGCCCTCCATATATAGTGGAATTAGTCGCCTCTGTATCCAAACCGATGAGATATGGGAATCCTATAACAATAGAACAGCAGCAGAAATCATCAATTGAATTAAATGTGCAGAGGCGAAAATTTTGCTAAAGACATACGGGAGGGAAAGACCGTAAAAGGAGAGTACAATTTGGGGTAGGGGGTTCGCACGGTAGGCCCTGGTGGGCTGGCAAAAAGCATTAAACACTTGGTGGAAACTAGCAGATGGAAGAAAAAACTGTGAAGTGGAAATTTGGGGGATAAAAACACAAAATTTTAGTTAGCATCTATTTAATTGTACTGTACCTGTAATTGATCCTTTTTCTCTTGTAGAATATACCCAGTCTGCACATATTAATCCATTTCAGTACAAAAAATGTGGGATTTACTTCACATGCCGACAGAGCATGGGTCCACTTAACCATCAGCAGTTCACATCTAATAATGCATTAAATAATAAAATGTACAAATTCAACTACATTGTTAAGAAAATAAAAAAATTCAAAAATTCGACTACGTAGTTAAGAAAATTAAAAGCTGAACACTGTCAATTTTATCTTCTCCCTTGAGATGAAAATTGACACGTTTTGGCTAAAACTGATCACATGTGCATGGAAGAAATATTAATTTCATTAACATTATCTTCTCTTGTTCTCTATCTCTTTACTCTCCTTTTTCTCTTTTTCCTTTTTTTTTTTTCTAACTTTCTATTTAAAAGTTATATTGGGACAGCTCCAATTCTGAGAGGAATTGTTGAGAACTTACCTGAGAAACCCAAAAACTAAGCCAAGAATCCCATCTCGTGATTTTGAGAAATCTAAGGGTGCTCCATATGCAAGGGGATCAGTCTCCTCTGTATCCAAATAGATAAGATATGGAAATCCTATACCAACAGAACAGCAGCAGAAATCATCAACTTAATTAAAGGAGCAGAAGCAAAAATTTGGCTAGAGGCATACAGGAGGGGAAGACCGTCGAAGAAGAGTACTATTTCGAGTATGGGGTTGGCACAGGTAGGCCTTGGTGGGCTGGCAAAAATCATCAAACACTTGGTGGAAACTGGCAGATGGAAGAAAAAAATGTCAAGTGGAAATTTGAGGGATAAAAACACAAAATTTTAGTTACCATCTATTTAAATGTACTGTACCTGCAATTGGTCCTTTTTCTCTTGTAGAATATACTCAGTCTTCTCATATTGATCCATTTTAGTACAAAAAAGTGGGATTTGCTTCACTTGTCGGTAGAGTATGGGTCCCCTTAACCATCGACAATTCACATCCAATAATGCATTAAATAATAAAATGTAAAAATTCAATTAGCTAGTTAAGAAAATTAAAAGCTGAACACTGTCAATCTTATCTTCTCCCCTGCGATGACAATTGACACATTTTGGCTAAAACTCATCACATGTGCGTGGAAGAAATATTAATTTCATTAACATCATCTTCTCTTCTTCTCTCCCTCTCTACTCTCCTTTTTCCTTTTTTCCCTTTTTTTTTTTCAAACTTTCTACTCAAAAGTTATATTGGGATAGCTCCAATTCTAAGAGGAATTGTTGAGAGCATACTTGAAAACCCAAAAACCAAGCCAGGAATCCCATCTCGTGATTTTGATAAATCAAAGGGTCCTTCATATGCAGTGGGATCAGTCTCCTCTCTATCCAAACAAAGATGAGATTTGGAAATCCTATATCAACAGAACAGCAGCAAAAATCATCAATTCAATTAAAGGTGCAGAGGTGAAAACTTTGCTAGAGGCATATGGGAGGGAAAGACCGTAGAAAGAGAGTACAATTTGCAATAGGGGGTTGCCACGGTAGGCCCTAGTGGGCTGGCAAAAAGCATTAAACACTTGGTGGAAACTGGCAGGTAAAGGAAAAAAATGTCAGATGGAAATTTGGGGGATAAAAACACAAAATTTTATTTACAATCTATGTAATTGTACTGCACCTGCAATTGGTCCTTTTTCTCTTGTAGAATATACCCAGCCTGCACATATTAATCCATTTCAGTACAAAAAGGTGGGATTTGCTTCACATGTCGGCAGAGTATTTGTCCCCTTAACCATCAGCAGTTCACATCTAATAATGCATTAATTAATAAAATGTAGAAATTTGACTAGCTAGTTAAGAAAATTAAAAGCTGAACATTGTCAATCTTATCTGCTCCCCTACGATGAAAATTGACACATTTTGGCTAAAATTCATCACATGTGCATGGAAGAAATATTAATTTCGTTCACATTATCTTCTCTACTTCTCTCTCTCCCTACTCTCCTTTTCCTTTTTTTCCCTTTTTTTTATTACCTTTCTATTCAAAAGTTATATTAGGACAGCTCCAATTTTGAGAGGAATTCTTGAGAACTTACCTGAAGAACCCAAAAACCAAGCTAGGAATCCCATCTCGTGATTTTGAGAAATCTAAAGGCCCTCCATTTATGGTGGAATTAGTTTCCTCTGTATCGAAACAGATAAGATATGGAAATCCTATATCAACAAAATAGCAGCAGAAATCATCAATTCAATTAAAGGTGCAGAGGTGAAGATTTTGCTAGAGACATACGGGAGGGAAAGACCGTAAAAGGAGAGTACAATTTGGGGTAGGGGGTTGGCATGGTAGGCCATGGTGGGCTGGCAAAAAGCATCAAACACTTGGTGGAAACTGGCAAATGGAAGAAAAAATTGTCAAATGGAAATTTGGGGGATAAAAACACAAAATTTTAGTTCGCATCTATTTAATTGCACTGTACCTGCAATTGGTCCTTTCTCTCTTGTAGATCATACCCAGTCTGCACATATTAATCCATTTCAGTATAAAAATGTGGGATTTGCTTCACATGTCGACAGAGTATGGGTCCACTTAACTATCAGCAGTTCACATCTAATAATGCATTAAATAATAAAATGTACAAATTTAACTACGTTGTTAAGAAAATAAAAAAATTCAGAAATTCGACTACGTATTTAAGAAAATTAAAAGCTGAACACTATCAATTTTATCTTCTCCCCTGCAACGAAAATTGACATATCTTGGCTAAAACTGATCACATGTGCATGGAAGAAATATTATTTTCGTTAACATTATCTTCTCTTCTTCTCTCTCTCTCTACTCTCCTTTTTCTTTTTTTCCATTTTTTTTCTAACTTTCTATTCAAAAGTTACATTGAGATAGCTCCATTTCTGAGGGGAATTGTTCAGAACTTACCTGAAAAACCCAAAAACCAAGCCAGGAATCCCATCCCGTGATTTTGAGAAATCTAAAGGTCTTCCATATGTAGTCGGATAAGTCTCCTCTGTATCCAAACAGATGAGATCTGGAAATCCTCTATCAACAGAACAGCGGCAGAAATCATCAACTCAATTAAAGATGCAGAGGCGAAAATTTTGCAAGAGGCATATAGGAGGGGAAGACCGTAGAAGGAGAGTACAATTTGGGGTAGGGGTTGGCACGGGTAGGCCTTGGTGGGTTGGCAAAAAGCATCAAACAGTTGGTGGAAACTCGCGAATGGAAGAAAAAAAACTTACCTGAAAAACCCAAAACCAAGGCAGCAATCCCATCATGTGATTTTGAGAGATCTAAGGGTCTTCCATATGCAGTGGGATCAGTCTCCTCTGTATCCAAACAAATGAGATGTGGAAATCCTTTATCAACAGAATAGCAGCAAAAATCATCAATTCAATTAAAGGTGCAGAGGCAAAAAATTTACTAGAGACATATGGGAGGCAAAGACCTAGAAGGAGAGTACAATTTGGGGTAGCGGGTTGGCGCGGGTAGGCCCTGGTGAGTTGGAAAAAGCATCGAACACTTGGTGAAAACTGGCGAATGGAAGAAAAAAATGTCAAGTGGAAATTTGGGGGATAAAAACACAAAATTTTAGTTAGCATC